TAGAAGGGACAGAATAATAACAGAATAACAGAGTTGGAAGTGACCTTAGGGGGGTCTTCTAGTCCAGGGGTCCCCAATCCCTGGTTGGTGGACCGGCACAGATCCCTCCCTGTTGGAAGGAACCTTGGAGGTCATCTAGTCCAACCCCCTGCTTAGGCAGGAAACCCTACACCATTTCAGACAAATGGCTGTCCAGTCTCTTCTTAAAAACTTCCAGTGTTGGAGCACCAACAACTTCTAGAGGCAAGCTGTTCCACTGATTAATTGTTCTCACTGTCAGGAAGTTTCTCCTTAGTTCCAAGTTGCTTCTCTTCTTGGTTAGTTTCCATCCGTTGCTTCTTATCCTGCCTTCAGGTGCCTTGGAGAATAACTTGACCCCCTCTTCTTTGTGGAAGCCCTTCAAATAATGGAGCACTACAATCATGTCACCCCTATTTCTTCTTTTCCTTAAACTAGACATACCCAATTCCAGCAACTGTTCCTTATGATTTAAGGAGATATTTATTCTAAATAGTCAATTCTCCCTATTCAGCCAACACCCCCCCCCATCTCCCCCCCCCCGCTCCAGGGAGAGCAGCGCCATCTACTGTGGTCCATGCAGTTCATTATGGATTTAAATTGAAGGCAGAGACCCCACGTTATACACTTTGCTTGTGGTTTTGAAGAAAATCCTGCATCATGCTTCGAAGGGGGTTTATGGACACCATTTTTAAAAAATAACTTATTTTATTTTTTAAAAAAAACTTATTTGGAATTTTTTAAAAAATACCTATTTTGCTTTTTTTTTTGTTTTCTTAAATTGCAAAATAAGATCGGGAATAAGCAAGGTTGCATGCGGCGGACGTTCTCCAGACCACGCCCTGTGGATGACTTGAACTAAAAGCCCCAGCATTTGAAAACATCATTCTCACTGGGATTTTATGTAAGGTCCTGCCATAACTGGGAGAGATCACGAAGGCTGCATTACCTGGGATTTTGGGGGGCACCATCCTGCTGTAATCTGGAAGGTCTTATTAAGTGATCTGGGCTTAAATCTCTTATCTGGCCATCTGCGGCGCATTGTTCATATTTATTTATTTAATTATTCCCCACCTTTATTGTTTTTACAAATAAATTCAAGGTGGCGGATATATCCGCCACACCTTCCTTCTTCTATTTTCCCCCAGAAAAACAATGCAGTCAGGTGAACGTTCAGATAAAATTTGGATCTCATGCACCGCATACCGAATCACGTTGGATCAATCGTCTTTCCATCTAATTAAACTTCCCTTGCAAGGACACAGCCTCTTGATTGACAGGGGTGTCTGCAAGATCGTGATGACAACGGGGCAATCAATCTCTCTTTTTTAACTGAGTAGACTGTAGCTTATAACATGCTAGGCTAGGATTAAATGGAGCTGGGCGGTGAGTGGCTTGTAGGAATCCATTCCTCGTTTTTGCATGCTGAGTGACTCAAGTCTGTCCCTCTAAACCAGCGGCTCCCAACCTTTGGGGCACCAGGGACCAGTGATGTGGAGAAAGGTTTTTCCACAGACCGGAGGGCGCATGGTTTCTCGTGCTACCTGCATCCCACGGATGGGGCTTGATGTCAGACCTGCCCCCAGTCAGCCCCTCAGGAAAGTAAGACTCTTGAATCCATTGTTGAATCAAAAGAACAGGACAGCAGAGAACGGCGGTGGACCTGACACTTTTTGCACGGCCCAGTTTCTGGCGGTTGTGGCCGAGTGCCGGTTCATGGACTGGGGGGGGGGGTTGGGGACCTCTGTCCTAAATCATCAGATGTTTGATGATGTAAGGCCTTGCATACTAAGAGAACGTAGAAAGCGTGTTTTGTTAACCAGAGCTGAAGTTTGGTTATGTTTATGTCAGGGGCCTAAAATGTCCAGATAATTAATGAAACCAGCATTCATGACAGTCCTTTAGGCAGACGTTAATAGCAGTGCAAATGTTAAGCTGTATTTGAGACACACCCTTAAATCAGCATCTGTGAGGTGTGAGCCCTGGTAGTGCAGTGGTTAGAATGTAGTACTGCAGGCTATTTCTGCTGGCTGCCAGCAGTTTGGCAGTTCGATTCCCACCAGCTCCAGATTGACTCAGCCTTCCTTCTGAGGTCGGTAAAAAGAGGACCTCAGATTGTTGGGGGCAAGAGGCTGACTCTGTAAACCGCTTAGAGAGGGATGTAAAGCATTGTGAAGTCTAAGTGCTATTGCTAGTTTGTAGTTTGTAGTTCTTTTGTAAAGGAACTGAATTAACAAACTTACTTGTCTTAGCCACAACTTCTGGAGGCAACTTCTGGAATGGCTTGCCTTCAGAACTTATGGATGCTCCATCACTGGAGGTTGTTAAGAAGATACTGGACAGTCATTTGTCTGAAATGGCATAGGATCTTCTCCTTGAGCAGGGGGTTGGACTATAAGACCTCCAAGGTTCCTTCTAGCTCTATTCTGATTATGATTTTTTCCCACGAGTAAGGGTGACCCCCCCAGACTTGACCTGTTCACCCAAAAGAGTTTCAGAGGCTACCTTCTTGATCCCCCAATGCAAATCGAGGATGCAGTGGAAAAGTATGCAATGGGGGTGTGTGTAAAAGATGGGGGTGCTCCCCGCTGAGATCCAAATCGACAGTGGACGGTTCCCCGTCCTCCCCCCTCCCCGTCCCTGTGACCGCTTTTGGAAGAAACCCACAAGTGTGAAGTTTACATCTCAGCCTTGTGACGAACAGTCTCCTGCGGGAGGCGAGAGCGAAAGGCACCATCTGCCAAGTTGTGCACACAAGGGTTGTGCATACAAGGCAGTCTTTGTTCGGCTGCAAAGTCTCGCTCAGCCCCATAGAGACGCGGGGCCATTGCTTCTTCCCGGCACATGTGGGGGCCTTCTGGCATGGGCCACTGCCTGGCTGGGGGAGGTCAATCCCACTCATCTCTCCTTCTCCAGTTCCCCCCCACCCCAACCAAATTGCTGGCAGGTTCAAGAGAACATCTCGCAGAATGAGATGCGAGGGGAAAAAAAATTATTTTGCCTGTGGCTGGACCCCTTTGAGAAACTAGAGCAGAGCAGCCATGCCAATTTTTGCTCTGAACTGGATTTGGGGAGAGGGGTGGGATAGCCAGGCCAGGAATTGCTTAGACCCTTTTATTTATTTAAATGTCTATGGAGATTCTCGACCATCCAGGCCACTGTTTGTCCCAAAGGTGCTTTTCCAAAAGGCAACTCAACTTTCTCGTCCTGTTTCCTTTGAAAACATTTCGTTTCTCGTCCAATAAGCTTATTTTGCAGTTCGGTTTTATTCGTTTGTTTTGTCTGTTTAGCGGCTTTATCTAGCCCTACCCCCACCCCCACCCCCCTCCACCTACCATGACTTTGGGCAGCCTGCAAAACCTTAACAAGAAGAACCAGAAAACGCTCAAGCATAAATGAAAGAGAAAACAGGGAAACCCAAGACTGCAGGACAACAACTTTTCCTAAAACTTCTTCAAGGGAAGGAGAAAGGCTGCAAAGATTTTTCAAGGGCAGTTCCCCCCCCCCAACCGATGAAAGAGACATCAGTTCTACTCCTGAGACTTTCCTGCAGGTTCTGCAGGAGGGTGGGGTGGGGGTGGGGGGTGTCAGGAGAAGGAATGGCCCAAAGACAGGCCATTCACGCACACACCTCACTAGGAAACAGTGCAACAGTACGATGGTTCGCCCATGAGAATTTATTCCCCATTTTATCTGAATTTCTATCGCAAGATAGAAGTTTGCACCCTTAAACCCCCTTATTGAGTTCACACGTCTTTTCTGGTGCTGCACAATAAACTAACCACAGGGGATGAATTTCCACAGCATCCTAAGTCACACCTCTATAGCACACACAGTACCATCGTCACTGGGCAGGACAAAACCTTAAGCAAGGTTAAAACTCGGCAAACTTCATACTTGGTGCAGGTACAACTTTGATTTACGACTACTGTTGAGCCCAAAATTTCTGTTGCTAAATGAGACATGTGTTCAGTCAGTTTTGCTCCATTTTACCATTTTTCTCGCCACAACGTTTAAGGGAATCATCGTCTGTTGAGTTAGTAAGATGGTTCTTAAGTGAGTTTTGCTTGTCAGAAGCTCTGAAAAGAGGATCGCGTGATTCCCAGGACTCGGCAAACATCATAACTATGAGTCAGTTGCCAAACCTCTGAATTTCGATCACATGACCCGGGGGGGGGAATGCTTGCAACAATGTGAAAAAAAGTATGAAAAAACAGTCAGCAGTCCTTTTTTTTTTTTTCCAGTGCTGTTTTAACTTTGAAGGGTCACCAAATGAACTGTCGTAAATTGAGGACTAGCTGTCTCGGGTAAATGCGTTGTGCGAGCCCAGAATTGGAACTTCAGAAGTTGCCCAAGGAGAGGAGATGGGTGAGTGGGTGGGTGGGTGGGCAGGAAAAAAATATATATGTGTAAAAACAGTCCCAGGTGCAAGGAAGCCCAGGTCCTAGGACCCACCGCTTTTTGATCCTTGTCCCCTTTTTCCAAAACTCAACATTCCCTCTCCAGCTTCTCGTGGTGGAAGAACGAATGGAACCTCCAGGGTCAGGAATGGGCTTCTGAATAATAAAGGGCAGAAGGTGACAGAAACCCCTGCAAGGGCAGAGGGGGAGACAGGACCCCGTCCCCACCGGGTCCACCTCCCCCTCCCCTCCCTTTGCATTCAGTTCGGCTGGCCAGGGCCGCTGGAAAGCCGCTCAGGAGAGGCGGAGGAGCGGCCAGGCTCTGGCTCCGGCGCCGCAGCTAGCCTCTCTCCTTCGCTCGCCCTCCTCCGGAGCGGCTCTCCGGGCTGGCGCGCCTGGCATCCAGCTGCAGCCTGGCTTCCTGCCTTTGGCGCGATTGGCTGCCACCCGGTCTCCGCCTTGCCCAGGCGAGGCGGGACCCCAGGCTTGCGAGTAGACACGCCGAGCCAGCACGGCAGCTCATTGGACGGCCGGCAGGGTGATTGACGGCTGGGGCTGTTTGCAGGGAAGAGAGACGGGGAGGGGGGGGGGAGTCATTCCTGCAGGCTGGCGTCGAAGTTCGCTGCGCCTCCGGGCTCTCGAGTTCGCCTTTTCTTCCCCTCGTCGTTTTGACTGCTGCTCCGTTTTCTCTCTGGGCGCTTCTGCTGATTCCCCTTCTTCTTCTTCTCTCCTTCCGTGCCTCTTCCTCCTCCTCCTCCTCCCGCCGCCCCTGCTCCCTTCTCCCTCCTCTCCGCCCCGTCTCTCCTTTTCCTTGGCAACCGCCCTTCTTACAGGGAGAGGCTAGTGGTTAGAGCTGAAGCTGGATGGATGGTTATGGGGAAAGGGGCAAGCGCCAAAGCCCTTGGACCGATCCAGTTCCTCTGGTGGCTCTCCATCTTCCCCGCAGGTAAGCAAGCCGCGCGCCTCTCCCGCCGGACCCCCCCCGGCCCCTTTGTTGGTCTGGGTTTTTTTGGGAGGGGGGGGGCTGCCTTGAAAACGTTTCCTTGGGAAAGGGGTCTTTGCAAAACAAACAAAAAAACCCAAAGCCTGCTCCGATGGGCTGCTGGCCCCGCAGCCTGGTCCTCCAGCCCTTGGAAAGCATCGGAGAGAGAGCCGGGGCGTTTCAACCCAGCCGGATTCCCCCCTTACCCGGGCCGGTTGCTTAAAACAACAACAACAACAGCAACAACAACAACAAATGCCTCCCGTGTAGTATTTCTTCGCTCGGCCTTTGTCTCTCGCCTAAGACGGAGTCCCTTGCAAGAGAGAGAAACCCGCAGAAGTCGACTTTTTTTTTTTTTTTTTTGGAAGAGCAGAGTTGCCAAAATTGCTCTGGATAGTTGGAAGTTTAGGCTGGGAGCGAACGGAGCGCGGCGGCGTGTGTGTGTGTGTGTGTGTGTGTGTGTGTGTGTGTGTGTGTTTCTGTTTCCAGCCCCCGCGTCCTGCCTTTCACAAATTTGGGGGCCAGCAAAGCAACGAGGCTGGTTTTGTGGCAGTCTCTCTTCTCCCTTCGCTACGGGAAAGTCCTAACGCCAGCTTACTCCGAGGTGGACCCGTTTCGAAGTGGGGTGGAGTGTGCTGGGGTGGGGGGGGCGGCGGCGGCTCAAATCGCGTTTGCACCGTTCACTGCAGTTTAGCATTTGAATGCGGAGTTTAGGATTTCTCTGCCCCGGGAGGGGGGGCGGGGTAATTCGGAGTGCTAGTTTTGGACCTCTGAATCCGTACATGAGTGGGATCTCTATCGGAAAAGATCGTCTGGGAATCTGCTTCTGCGTTCAGATCTCTTCCTGAAGGCCCCGAGGTCCCGTCCCCGAAAAAGGTCCATGGGGGGGGGGTCACCGTTGAAAATGTGGCGGTGGGACTGGTTTACCAGCATCATCCCCTTTTGACCCTTTTTTCAGAAGTTGCAGCCTGCCCGTTTCTTTCCAGAGCATGCCCGGCTTAGCATTCCCAGATGGGTCATAAGAGTTTGCAAAGGAAGCAGGGGGCTCTGGAAATCACTGCACGCGCCTCACCCGCCGCTCTCATTTTAATTTATCCAGGCTTGCATCTTGGAAAGAAGTTATGGTTTTATTTGGGGGGGGGGCGTGGAGGAGGAAGATGGCGCCCAGTTGCTGACAGCACAATTCACTTGCTCCCTCCTTCGTTTTATGCTGCCTTATTGTTCTTCGCAGGGTTTTTTTGGGGGGTGGGGAGGCGAGCGAGGACGGGAGGGAAATAAAGGAATGAACATTTGAGCACCCCCTTTTTTGGAGGGGGGGAGAGGGTTGAAAAAAAAAGTTGGGGAGGGCTATGCCGGCCGATGGATTTCCCGGCTGTAACCTGCTCTTAGCGCTTGTTCCGTGCTTGGTTGCGTCGCCAGATGTTGATCTATTTAATATTTGCAAGCCCAAAGAAGGAGGGCAGCTGTTGGGGGGGGGGGGAAATACAGGCGCTGAGAAGGTTTTGATCTCCTTTCTTGATTCTCCCTTCCTCCCATTCTCTCTCCTCCTCAGTTGCCTCTTGCTTGTTTTCCTTTGCTGAGTTGCAGATGGAGCCTTGATTTTCAGAAAAAAAAAACCTCCCTCTTCTTCCTTTTCTTCTTTTTCTTTTTCTTCTCTTTCTTCTTTCTACTTTCTTCTCCTCCTCTTCCCCCGCCCCCCCGCCCCCGGTTTGTTTTCACGAAGTCGGGAAAGGAGTGAATTTTTCAGCATCGCAGCTGAGAAACGCCATCTGTTTCCAATGAATTCCCCCACTGCTTTTTCACAGCGTTTCTGGCAGATCCGGCTTTGCAAATTCCTGCCTGCTTGTTTTCGTTGGGGGAGGGCAAGCGTAACTTCACACTGGCGGAGTTGTTCCTTCCAAAAATCTCCAATTTCGTGGCCGCTGGGCTGGCTTTTCCCCCTCCCTGCCGTTTACCCCAGGCGGTGGAGAGGAGGGGGACGAGCAGAGAATGGGGTAATGCACGAGGTGTAATTTGTCTGTTGATACAGGCTGCGGAGTGACTTTAAAAAAAAAAAAACTCCCCTTTGCGGAGGTGTGAATTGATGGCTGCCAAGGGGAGCATTTTTTTTTATTATTAGAAACAAAGACTATCCACCTTATTAACACCTGTGTACATCTTGCCCGAGTGTGCAGACAAAATCATAAGGGTAATCATCATCCCTGGGAACACCAAGTTGACAGAGTTCTTGAAAAGGAACAGGTCAAGATCCTGTGGGACTTTTGGATCCAAACAGACAGGTATCTGGTCCACGACACACCTGGCATCACTATTGTGGAAAAGAAAAGAAAAAAGTCTGGTTCATTGATATTACAACACCAGGTGATGCACAAAATGCCTAGGGGAAAAAAAAATAAGGACATATTGTGATTTGCAAATTGAAGCTGAGCCACTGTGGAAGAAGAAATAATTGTGCCAATGATAACAGAACCCCTTGGAGCAATACCCAAAGGGCTGCCTAAATACATAGAAATTTTGAACATATTAGACCTGAATATCCTGACTTTGCAAAAACAATACCCCCAAACAGCTTACTTGCAACTACCTATAATACTCAGCCACTACCTTAACAGCTCTTGGGTCCTTGGTTAGGACTTGAACTGTTAAGTGTTTACCAGTCCCAGACTGTGAGTCAAATGGAAGATGAAATCTTAAATAATAATAACCATAACAATGGCATTCTCCTGGTTTATCCCAAGTCTTTGGGAAAGGACTCGATAGAGGCGGCACTCAGCCCTCTCCGTGGGCACACGTGCCATGCCCCAGAGATGGCAACCGTCCTCTTCAACCAGCCGCCCGCTAACTCACTGAGGTCCCACATAGCCGGATGCATCCCAGCACCCATGCGCTTGCTGGTCTCTGTGTGTGGGGGCCGATGGCGTCAGGCAGCAGCCACCCCGGCCCCTGCATCGACTTGCCCTGCAACATGGCACCCCTGCCCTACCTCGCCTTGCCTCGCCTCACCCCAGCCTCCTGCCCACCGCCCCACCCACCAGAGATCCCTGGATTTCCCCCAACCCTGCCTGGTCATGCCTACCCTGGCCACACCCACCCATCTGTCATGACCACTGTAGCCACGCCCACCCGGCAATACATAAGTGAATTTTGGGTTGAAGTTTGGGCACTCGGTCTCTAAAAGGTTCGCCATCACTGCGATAGGTGAATTAAAATGCCAAATCCAGTCTGAACATCTGGCTGACTGTGCCACGAATTATAACCATCGCCATGTTTTCTTAACTTTCACACTTTGCAGTAATTCTCATGAAATGGGTCACAGGACCAATAATCCATTGTAAAATAGCCATAGTCTGGGGGGTTCCTTAAACTGCCCATCTCTATCAATGGGAAGTCGCTATGGGGTCCAAGCAAATCCCAAAATTTTTGAGGGGCCCTTGGTGCTCTCTGAGCTTGGTTGTTTTTTGTTTTTTTTTGGCAGAAGTTTAACATCTTCAGTGCTAGTGGTGATTTGTTGTTGTTAGTTGTGAAGTCGTGTCCAATCCATCGTGACCCCATGGACAACGTTCCTCCAGGCCTTCCTGTCCTCTACCATCTTCTGGAGTCCCTTTAAGCTCACGCCTCCTGCTTCTGTGACTCCATCCAGCCACCTCATTCTCTGTCGTCCCCTTCTTCTCTTGCCCTCCATCTTTCCCAGCATCAGGCCCTTCTCCAGTGAGTCCTTCCTTCTCATTAGGTGGCCAAAGTACTTGAGTCTCAACTTCAGGATCTGGCCTTCTAAAGAGTAAATGATGTTACCTAGTTTGGGTAATGAAACATCTGCAAGAAACCCACCAAGCTGAGAGAGCAGCAAAGACCTTTCATTTCTACCCTGAGCTACAAATATTCTCCTTTATTGGTACAAAATTCTTTTCTGGTGAAACACACGTCATGCTCCAAATCACCTTGCAAGAAGGAACTTGATTTTTGATCTGGAGTGTGTTTGTGCACCCATTTCCTTATTCTTAGTCTCAGCAGCCCAAATATGAATAATAAAAGAGGTAGGGTGGGGGTGGGGAACTTACAAAGTATTCTTTTGGCGTGACAGGTTTTTTTTTTATGGGGAAAGGAGGGAATCGACTAAGGCCTACTGAAGCTGACGTTATGTAAACCTTCCTTTGTTGGGCTCAAATTCTCCTGAATTCATCTTGGTTGTAATCTCTTTTGGAGAGAGTTAACTAAAAGGATCTTTCTGGCAAGGGATAAATTTGTGCCTTTGTTTCCTTCTTATGGCCAGTCTACCCTTCCTGGTATAGTATTTTCTCTGGGGTTAATGACCCTCCTCATTAGCTTCAGATAATTAGGACCTCTGAAGATTTTTTTCTAACTACTCTTGTGTTCCTAGAGCTCTTCTTTACTTTTTATAACGTTATTTAATCTCTTTTTAAAGTCTCGGGAAGTTTGCAGCCTTCAACACATCTTGTGGCAACTTATACTCTGCCTTGTGAGAGAAAGATATGAGAATTTGCAAAGGCTTATGGTCTGATAAATCAGTGGGTCTCTAAGGAGCTGCAGGGCTGAAGTCACCCTATACTAATTGAGCCCCCTGGTCTCTTAGCAACACTGCTGTAAGCATTGCTTTTTTTTTCTTTTTTCTTTAAAAAAAAAACCCGCCACATTGTGTTTCCTTTGTAGGAATATAATGGTAGTGATTTACAAATAGATAGGCTCTAGATTGCATTGCACCATTGTTCCTTGATTTTATGCAAATTCTTGATTGGTATCCCAGAGAGAGAGAGAGAGAGAGAGAGGTTTTTTTTTCTATCCAAACTTTTCTTTGAGTAATCTACAAAGGTTCAAGAGTGTTTTGAGCCAGGACAGACAAATTAAAAGTCAAGACACGACTTCTAGTTGACATTCAGTTGAAATAATTCCTGTAAGAATGATTTCTTACAGGAAAGAAGCTTCTTGGATGAGAAGCAAAACATTTT